GAGCAAGAGAGAGCTCGAGAAAACATACAGGCTGAGACACTCATTCCAGTGCCCATTGAGCTGGATGAGTCTACGGGATTGATAGAGGTGACAGTCCAGCCTGCACCTGAAGAAAAGATTATGCAGCAGGAGACTGAGAAAGTAGCTGAGCCAGTAGTTGAAATAGTAGCTGAGAAAGAGAAATCCCAAGTGATTGGGAAGAAAAGACCTCCTGCACCATTTCCACAGAGGTTGGCCAAGCATCAAAAGGAGGAGCAGTATAAAAAGTTCTTTGAGATGCTCAAACAAATCCAGGTAAATATTCCACTGATTGAAGCTTTAAAGGAGATGCCTGGATACGCTAAAATGATGAAGGACTTGATGTCTCGGAAGTTTGACTTCCAAGACTTGGCCACGGTGACACTTACTCAGACCTGTAGTGCAGTGGTGTCTAGACCTGTTGCTGAAAAGCTATCTGATCCAGGTAGCTTTACAATTCCATGCACTATTGGGAACTTCGCCTTTGCTAAGGCACTCTATGATTTAGCGGCCAGCATTAAATCTTATGCCCCTGGTTATTTATAAGAGGTTGGGCATTGGGAGAGCTAGACCCACCTCTATGTTGTTGCAGCTGGCCGACAGGACTGTGAAGCGTCCATTTGGGATCCTTGATGATGTGCTTATTCAGGTGGGGAAATTCGTGTTCCCTGCAGATTTTGTAATCTTGGATTGCAAAGTGGATGAAGAAATTCCTATAATCTTAGGACGACCATTTTTGGCCACGGGGAGAGCTCTGATTGATTGTGAGACTGGGGAGCTCAAGATGAGGCTCAATGATGAAGAAATTATATTCAATGTGCAGAAATCTATGAGGCGACCAAGTGAGTTTGCCAATTGTTCTCTTATTGATGCCGTGGATGTAATTGTAGAGTCTGATGATGAGGTGTTGACGGTTGAGGATCCCCTTGCTGCATGCTTGATGAATTTAGATGAAGTGAATGGTGAGGATTTGGCGGAATGGGTGTTGGCATTGGAAGGTAGAGGGTTCTGGGATAGAAATCTAGAGTTTGAGCCCTTACACTTAGAAAAGAGAGANTTTAAATAAGACCTCTCATTTTGGCAAGTAGTGATGCACCTACTTGTCACCTACCAGTTTGCGCTGTCTCTCGAAAATGCAAATATCTCTCTACTCCAATATCGTATCGACGAACGGGTTAATGCGTTGGAAACTAGACTCGTAGATCTTCAATTTGATATGTAGATCATCCATTGATTCCAAGTATATTGGGAGAAAAGTGCATCTACATTTGACCTAAATTTCAGCATATTATAAATGGAACTTGTGATGACCTTTTCCAACTTTTGTTCCACAACTCGCTTGACTTCAAAACATAACACCAACTATCGTACGACTAAAATAACTCATAATATAATCTCCTTATAATGTTAATAACCCTAGTATCACCCCAAAAGTACATGGTAAAATATTCCAACTTGTCGACTTTCGACGAAACTTATTTTCTTCAATTCGTTTAGCTTCTAAGCCTTCAAACCCTCTTGCTACTTGGTACTAATGATCTTAAATATTTGTAACCTCCACATTAACATGATGAACTAACTTTGTAAACTTTTAAAAGATGATTCCCTTTCTGAGCTTACATTAATTGACTTATGATGTATTCTTACGTACGAAAACACGGGGTGTAACACTTGCTATCAATTGCAGACGTTTAATTAAAGACTCTACAAGGCCATTTTGAGTGTGAACATGAGCTACAAGATGTTCCACTTTTATCCCAATTAATAAGCAATAATCATTAAATAGTTGGGATGAAAACTCATAGTATTATCAATTCTAATAGACTTAATTGGATTATCGGGAAATTGCGCCCATAATCAAATTATTTGTGCCATTAATTTTGCAAACGCAAGGTTGCAAGATGACAATAGGCACACATGAGACCATCTAGAAGATGCATCTATTAAGATCATAAAATATCTAAACGACCCACTAGGTGGGTGAATAGGTCCACAAATGTCCCCTTGTATACGTTCCAAAAATGCAGGGGACTCAAATCCAACCTTTGTTTGTGATGGTCTAATAGTTAACTTGCCTTGATAACAAGAAGTGCAAGAAAATTCATTATTTAAAAGAATTTTTAAATTCTTTAATGGATTCTCATTTGAGTTTTCTATAATCCGTCTCATCATAATTGATCCAGGATGTTCCAATCGATCATGCCAAAGTACAAAAGTATTGGAATCAGTAACCTTTTGGTTTATGATAGAATGTGCCTCAATTGCACTAATTCTTGTCCAATACATGCCACAAGATAAAGATGGAAACTTCTCAATAACCCTTTTCTGGCCAGAGACATTTTTGGTAACGATGAGATATTGAAGATTATTCTTATCTATTGTCTCAATATGATATCCATTTCGGCAGATATTTTTGAAACTCAACAAGTTCCTCTTGGACTTGGAGGAGAACATTGCATTATCTATGATAAGTATTGTTCCCTTAGGCAGAGTTATAGTAGCTCTTCCAAAGCCTTCAATTAGATTACTACTACCAGAAATTGTAGTAACATTTGCCTTACACATACTTAAATGAGAGAAATATTTCTTCTCTTTGAATATTGTATGTGTCGTACATAAATCGATTAAACAAATATTTTTACAATTGAACTTTGATCCAAGTTTTCTTTGTGAAATATCCATATTTGCTTAATCTTCTCAAAGAGCTTCTTGAGACGGTAGAGTCTCGTGCTGATAACGTGAAATAAAACAATACAGAAGAATAATATTGCAGAGAAAAGAGGGAGAGAATTCTTATTAATTTTGAGATGATTTACAATGGGGTAAAACCCCTCTATTTATAGGGGGAAAATGACTTAGCCATAAAGTAATAAACTCTCTAAAAGATAGACATTCACTCTAATTACAATTCTATTCGTAACAATTCTCAATTTTTTAAATGTAACCCATATTATTTGTTGAATCTTCCTACTGTTTTAAATGGAGTAATACATACTTAGGCCCCTTTTGTTCATAAATAACTTTTTATTTTTTTTCCAAAATATGTTTGTCCATGAAATATTGCAAGTTTTTGAAAAAATTCGAAAATGAAAATCACTTTTTCAAAATTTTCAGAAAAACTTTTTCACTCACAAAATTGCAATTTTTTTCAAATGAAATATATGTCCAAATATAATTTCAAATTCCAAATACCATTTTTCAATTTAACTCCAAATACTTTTTTTTTTTTTTTGCAAAAAACATAATTTTTATGTCCAAAAGCCTCAGATCTTTTCTACAAAGAAAATTTTGAATTCTGCAAAAGAGAAGTTGTGGGGTCCCATTAGGGCCAGAAGGTGGGGCCCATGAGGAGTGGGGGAAAGATTAGTGAGAGAAAACAGACAGTGGGAAGCACAAAAGAGGAAATGATGAGCAAGTTGAAAAACTCAGCAAAAAAGCAGAAACTTTAAACTATAAATTACAAAAACAAAACAGAGAGAAAGAGATTTATGATGAAAAAAAGGCCATTCTCTTTAACAGCAACAACACATGTATTCCTCTCAAAACAGAGACACATGAAAAAAGAAAAGCAACACAATGTGTGTTGTGTTCTCTCTATCATTCATTCATATACTCCATACTTCCTATAATACTTTCTGTATTCTATTATTACCTCTGTCCTAAATTTATGTGGCAGTGTTTAATTAAATATAAAAAAGAAATTTTCATAAAACACTACTTTCTCCGGTCCAAAATAAGTTATTTTTTGAATGTTTTCACACAGATTAATAAATCTACCTTTTAGCATTAATTAGCAATGAAATTGACCATATTAACCTTTACTATCTCACATAAACACTCCTAACACATATTCCAACATTATTTACTCCAAGGACAATGTAGGAAAAAAATAATTAATTCATTCTTGAAATCTGGAAAAATCACTTATTTTGGACCACAAGAAAAAGGCCAAAAAATCACTTATTTTGGACCGGAGGGAGTATAGTTTAAAGCCTAGAAGTTATAGTTTGCTTAATTAACATTCGTAGCTATTGTTCAATTATTACAAGCTTGTACTACTTGTATTTATACGTACAACGAATATATACCGTGTTAATTGTAGTTGTTATTAGTCAAACTTAAAACCTCCGCATACTAAGCACACACTCAAACCAACTGAGCTACGAGAGCTTATTGCTCTCTTGTTTCATGTCAAATCTTGTTTCATAGATTTATTATAAAATTTAAATATAGCCACGAATGGAAAATTTACTGAAAGTATAGTTACGAATGAAGTGTATATGTTTGATATGTCGCGTAATTTTCTCAATATAAATAAAATTATAAATATTTATTTGACTACATCACTAACGTTAAAATAATAAGTTTAAGTTAAAATTATTTTACATAAAAAAGTATGACATTTTATTGATGAGACAAACTAAAAAAACATTATTCCATATAACTAAGGAGAGAGGGAGTAAAACACACTCTCCTCTTTTCTTCATTTCTGCATGCTCTTAAAAAGATCTTACAACCATCAAACCAAAAGGGCACTGCAAATTCTGCAAAAAGTTTCAAAAAAAGATCCTTTCTCTGGATTCCCACAAAAATTGGGTCACTGTTTGTTGCCTTGGAAAAAAAATAGCTATAAAAGTTGCTCCTTTTTCTTTCTCCCCATTTGCCTACTTCTCTTCTGTCATAGTTGAAATGCTTGTTCACTAAAGAGAACTGAAAAAGCTTTAAAAAATTATCCTTTTTTTGGGATCCCTATAAATTGCCACTCTCTGTTTTGTTTCTCGAAAAAAGGTTCCTCTTTTTTCTTCATTTTCCCTGTGAAATGGGTGCTCGTTGCTCAAAATTCTCTTTTTGCTGGTGGCATTCTCATCTCAAACCATCCCTTCTTGATTCTTCTGATTTGGGTATTTATTTTCTTGGCAAATTTCTCTGATTTTTGTGCTTTTTGTGCAGTTTTTTTTATGAGATTTTACTTTGTTTTTTTTGTTGTTGCAGAGAATGGAGGGAAAAATGAGAAAAATGCATTGCCAAGTTTTGCTGAGTTCAGTCTTGATGAGTTAAAGATTGCTACTAATGGATTTTCTCCAGAAAACATAGTATCAGAACATGGTGAAAAAGCTCCAAATGTTGTTTATAAAGGCTTGCTTGAAAATGGTCGTTGGGTTGCTGTTAAAAGATTCAATAGGTCTGCCTGGCCTGATTCTCGTCAATTCTTGGTTAGTATTGTTGATTACATTGTGTTGCTCCATTTCCCAATTTTGACTTATTTTTTGGAAGGGGAGCCTTCGCGTAATCGTTAAAGTTGCCTCCATGTGACTAGGAGGTCACGGGTTCGAGCTGTTGAAACAGCCTCTTGCAGAGATGCAAGGTAAGGCTGCATGCAATAGACCCTTGTGGTCCGGCCTTTCTTCGGATCCCACGCATAGCGGGAGCTAAGTGCACCGGGCTGCCTTTAATTGATTTTATTGTAATTTGGACAATGATTGTGTTTTTGTAAAGGATGAGGCAAAGGCAGTGGGGAATCTGAGGAGTGAGAGATTGGCAAATCTAATTGGATGTTGCTGTGAAGGGGAAGAAAAATTGCTGGTGGCTGAGTTCATGCCTAATGAAACCCTTGCAAAGCATTTGTTTCATTGTAAGTAATAATGTTAAAATTTTGTATTTCAGAAATTTAGATTGTAGGAACATTATGTTGTAACTGATGGGATTTGTTTGTGATTACTAGATTGACTGTTATTTTGTGTTTTTGTGGTTGTATGGTCAATTGCATCTCTGTCTTTTTATCAACTTTAATTGAATGAATCTATGAATCTGTGATTAAGGCTTGAATATTTAATACCTTTGAAATGGAATAGGGGAGAATCAACCTATGAAATGGGCGATGAGGTTGAGAGTCGCTTTTTACCTATCGCAAGCTTTGGAATACTGCAGTAGCAAGGGTCGGGCATTATATCACGATCTTAATGCTTACAGAATCTTATTTGATCTGGTAAAGATTGATTCTACCGCAACTTTCGTTATTCCTAAATGGTTGCTGTTGGTGTAGTCCTCTTAAAATTGGTTATCATTTTTACAGGACGGTAATCCTAGACTCTCTTGCTTTGGCCTGATGAAGAACAGTAGAGATGGAAAGAGTTATAGTACAAATTTGGCTTTCACTCCCCCTGAGTACTTGAAAACAGGTCAAATATGATTTCTCTAAGCTATTATTTTCTCAATCCAAGTTGCATGTTCTGCACTGGGGACTTAAGATGGCTTTTTGTTTTTCACCGTAAAGCTTTAGCCTCAAGAAAGATCTGCTTAAATTAGTTCAGTCTAGCAGATCTTTTAGTAGTATTTTGAAACGAGTTTATGATTGGCAGGAAGAGTGACCCCTGAAAGTGTAGTTTACAGCTTTGGAACAATGTTGCTAGATCTTTTGAGCGGAAAGCATATTCCTCCGAGCCATGTAAGTTGCAGAAGATTCTGATGTGCACTATATGAAATCCTTTATAAATGAAACTTTGTTTGTTAACTCTATCATTTGAGTTCCTAAACTTGAAGAACCAATGTTTCTTTTACCTTCTTATAGGCACTTGATCTAATTCGTGGGAAGAATTTTTTGATGCTTATGGATTCTTGTTTGGAGGGTCATTTTTCTAATGATGATGGAACAGAGCTTGTTCGGCTAGCCACACGTTGTTTACAGTATGAAGCACGAGAGAGGCCTAACGCAAAATCTCTTGTCACTTCTCTTATGTCTCTTCAGAAAGAAACAGAGGTATGACCAACTGATAGAATTATGTGTCCCTCTACTTGCTTAGAGATCATTTTAAAAACTGCTATCTATCTTCCTTTATGAGATCGAAAATGGATTTAATGCCTTACAGATGAAATAGAAATATCTCCTTCCTTTTTGCATTTTGTATTTGGTTGTCTAGGATCACACTTTATCAAGGTTGGTTCTCTTACTATAATGTGGACATATCTCCTGTGTCTTTCGCCATCTCGTTTTTTCTATTTAATTAACAATGGAAACGGAAACCTTGGTGGAATTATTTGACTTATGGGAAAGATGCATATTGTATTTTAATTGCAATATATCCCTCAGATGAACCACCTAGGTTTCTGCTGTATTTTGTTTTGAGTAGTGCTTGGAGCCCATGTTTATTATTGATATAATCCAGGTGCCATCACATGTTTTGCTGGGCATTCCACATGGAACTGCAACCCCACCTCAACCGCTATTGTTGACGCCGATGGGTGAAGCATGTTTGAGAAAAGATCTTACTGCCCTTCATGAAATATTGGAGAAGACTGGATACAAAGATGATGAAGGAATTGCCAATGAGGTTTTTCTTTTATCTACAAAATTTCACTATTCATATAGCAGTATCGATAATCTTTGTTTCTCAATGTCAAATACATTATGTCTTCTGCCTAAGGTATTAATCACACAACCTAGTATAATTAACCTGCTACCTCTTTTCTGGGTGAAAGACAAGTTTCTATTTCCTTAAATAACTTTTTGACATGGTAATCTTGATAAGCAACCACTTTTAAAATGTGACTTTAGATATTGATCCGACTTTAATATCATGCTTCTTCCTCAAATTATTACCATGAAAGAGCCCACTATTTTTTTTTTTAATTTACTCATTCTACTTCAGTTTCCATCAAATAGCAGTGGGACCTACCTGAGTGTCATTATTAATCCCATGTGTTATCCTTTCAGATATGATAGTAAAGTTTAGATCTTTTGTCTGTTGATTGTAAAACAAAAAGACTATAGTAAGCCAATATAAGATACCCAATGTTCTATTTTGATTTTCCATATATGTGTTTTCACCTCCATATCTCAATAGCCCCACTATAAAGATTATGTCTCATTTTTATTAGTACAACTTGATCTTGATTTTGTTATTTTGTGATTCCATTTCAGCTTTCATTCCAAATGTGGACAAATCAGATGCAGGAAACCTTGAACTCTAAGAAGCATGGTGATGCTGCTTTCCGAGCCAAGGATTTCATTACTGCCATTGATTGCTATACACAGGTTTGACCACCTAAAAATACGTTTAATTTCTTAATGGCTAAAATTAGCTGCTTTTATCATAGTCGTAAAAAATTATAGGTATGTTCTGTAAAAGTTCAAATGAAGTATGTCACATAAGTATTCGTCTATTTAAACAAGTCAAGGAGGGCTTACATGCTATTCTGTTTAATATAGTTCATTGATGGAGGGACCATGGTATCACCAACAGTATTTGCGAGGCGTTGCTTGTGTTATCTGATGAGCGACATGCCACAAGAGGCTCTAGGGGATGCAATGCAAGCTCAGGTGGTTTTCGCTGAGTGGCCAACTGCCTTTTACCTCCAAGCTGCTGGCCTCTTTATCCTTGGGATTGAGAATGATGCCCAAGAAGCTCTTAAAGAAGCTACAAAGTTGGAAGCAAAAAGAAGCAAAAACTGAAACTGTATAGATTTGCATTTCTTTGATATTAATTGTCTTAATTTTCTTGTATTTATAAACAAAAGCAACACTAAAGGCCTTATGAACAAAATTGGTTGTTGAATGTTAATATTCAATTTTTGTTCTTTCCCTTCCGGAAGGAGTTTTTCACATTTGGTGAAAGATTATCTCTTATCCTTGGATGCACTTTCTATTCTTTATTGTTTATTTTGAAAGTAATGAAATTTAGTTTTCATCATTATCATTTATCAATGTGACTAGGCCAAGAATTCATATTGAAGGCAGAGAGCCAGAAGAAGAGTTCTCACTGAATGGCAGTGTGATAGCAAAATGAAAGATACACCTCTTTTACTAAGTTAAGGAGCTTTAGTTAATCTCAATGACACAATTAACCATTTAATACATGCTTCAAGATATGTAATATAAAGATTAAAAAATACAGAAAACTCAGCATGGTGATTTCAACACCTTATATAGAAGGAAAGCTAAGGAGTGAGTGATTGTTTTTAAACCATCAGTTGTATGTTGATCCACATGAGGAAGAGTCTCAATGGTAGCATATCCTTTAGCATTCTCATATTTGCCAGTTCCTCCAATGATGGCAATGTGAGAAATTGGTGTGGCTGTCCTGTGAATTCCAAATAAACTAATTGTATCTTCCCCTTCATGATCATGCTCTCCATGAAAAAGGGCTAAAGTGTGACTTGTGCCATCCGAAGAGCTTGTCAAGTAAAATCCTCGTGCCTTGCCAAAAACAGCCGATCCCAGCTCATGCCCCTCGGTTATTTCATTGTCCACAACAGTAATGGAACCAAACATGAGCTGCTGAAGGGATAGGCCAGAAGGAAGCTGTCCGGCTGTCACAAAAGGTTGGTTATTTCCACCATTCACTGTGTTGTTATTGCCAGTATTTTGGAGGATTGTGTTACCTTGCTGTTGACCATTTAGGCCTGCGAGGAATGGATAATTATTGTTGTTGACAATGTTGTTAATAGTGTTCACAGGAATTCGACCATTGATGTCACGACCCAGATTTCCCACCATCGGGAGTCGTGATGGCGCCTACTAACGGAGCTAGGCAAGTCAACTTAATTAACAAATTCCTTAAACACATATTCCTTTTTAACAATTAACGGCATTAAATAAAGGTGGCGGAATTAAAATCATAAGCGGAAGACTTAAATGTAGATAGACGATCAATAATACAGAAGTTCTATCACATATATCTCTACCCCGGGACTGGAGTCACATACTCACGAACATCTAAGGAGTACTACATACAAAGTCTGAAAGAAACGTAATCTGTTTATCTCGGGTACAATGAGATGACAGCCAAATGTAAAGATAGAAGGGAGACGCCGGGCCTGCAGACGCCTGCAAGCTACCTCGGGTCTCTCTGGACTGAAAGTTCGCCCTCGTGCTAATGCTGCTGCTGCTGCTCAATACCTGGACCTGTGCAAAAATGCACAGAGTGTAGCATTAGCACAACCGACCCCATGTGCTGGTAAGTGCCTAGCCTAACCCCGGCGAGGTAGTGACGAGGCTAGACTGGACCTCACATAAACCTGTGCAATTATAAATATACAGCAAAATTGAAGTACAAAGCAACTAACAGTATGGGAGGGGAAACATGTTGTGGGGAGATAACAACATTAACAGTAAATCCAAAGTAATCAATCTAGGTGCAATTTAAAATTTAAGGCGAACAAGAAACTAATACCAACACTAAACACATTTGCATCAATAACTGTTGCGGCGCGCAACCCGACCCTAATGCATTTCAACACTGTTGCGGCGTGCAACCCGATCCACAATTATCACTATTGCGGCGTGCAACCCGATCCACAATTATCACTGTTGCGACGTGCAACCCGATCCACAATTAACATTGTTGCGGCGTGTAACCCGATCCACAATTATCACTGTCGCGGCGTGCAACCCGATCCACAATTAACATTGTTGCGGCGTGCAACCCGATCCACAATTATCACTGTTGCGGCGTGCAACCCGATCCACAATTATCACTGTTGCGGCGCGCAACCCGATCGGTAATGTATACCTCTCAACCTTGCCCAAACAACAGTCACAAATAAAGGGCAAGGGAGTAAACAAGTATTTGGAAGGAAATCCTAACAAGGGTACACAAACAACCAATACAACCATGCAATAGTAAATCGTTATTTCTCTTTTTCTTTCATTTTCATATCCTAGTTCTCATTAGCACTCGTGTCAAGCTCTAAGGCATTTCTCATATCATATGCTCTCACCATTTGTATTTCAGACCGAGCCAATGCTCCACGAAGTTCCACAATCACAATATCTTTCACAAGGTGTTTACAACGCATAGAAGCCATCTATAAAGCATGGAAGGCATAAAAATATCCAAAAAATCTTCATATAAGGACTCACGGTCATGCTAGACCCCAATGTATAGGAACTCGTCACCATGCCTATACATCGTACTCGATCATTTAGCAATTAGCAAACAAGACTCGACTCCTATTCCCTCAAGCTAGGGTTAAACCAAACACTTACCTCAACTTCCACGGCCAATACAATCCTCCACAATCGATTCGGCTCCAACTCAACCAAATCTATGCAATAAGGACTTCATGTTATCAATATGTGCTAAACAAATCAAACCCAATGACTAATTATAGTTTTTTCATCCATTTACCCCAAAAGGTCAAAAATGCCCCCGGGCCCACATGGTCAAAACCCGAGGTTCGAACCAAAACCCGTTTACCCATTCCCCCATGAACTCAAATATGTAAGTTATTTTGGAATCGGACCCCGAATTGAGGTCCAAAACCCCCAATTTTAGCAAACCTAGGTTCTACCCTAAATTCCCAAGTTCCCCATTAAAATCTTTGTTTTGAAGTTGAAATTATGTTTAAGGATGTTAAGGAGTAAAGAAAATCAGTTAGAAAACACTTACCAATCGTTTTGAAGAAGAAGAATCGTTTGGAAAATCGCCTCTTATGTTTTGGGTTTTGAAAAAGTGAAGAAATGACTGAAAATCCCGACTTTATATACTGTGCTGAAGACAGGCGCGGACCGCACAAAAATGCACCGCGGCCGCGCTGAGGAAAGGGAAGAAAAATGACTCTCTGAACCTACCCAGCGCGGACCGCACTGATTTGGTGTGCGGCCGCGCTGGTCGACCTAGAATTCACTGGCCCTCTGAACCTAGCCACGCGGACCGCGCAGAAAATGCACCGCGGCCGCGCGGCTTCCAGCGGACCGCGCGGAAATGACCGCGGCCGCGCTGGGGGCCTGCAACCCCTGAACCTGCAACCATCTGCTATCTTTCTAGCCTAANGATGGAGTACCGGGAGCTATGGGCCTCCTCTAAAATCAACTCTCGGATCCCATCGACATTGGGCACACAAACTCGCCCCTGCAATCTCAAAACACCATCATCATCTAAGGTAACATGTTTGGCACCTCCTCGCTGCACCGTGTCTCTAAGGACACATAAATGGGGATCATCAAACTGCCGATCACGGATACGCTCCAATAACGAAGAACGAGCAACCGTGCAAGCTAACACACGACTGGGCTCAAAAACATCCAGTCTCACGAACTGATTGGCTAAAGCCTGAACATCCAAAGCAAGCAGCCTCTGACTGACTGGAATATAAGCAAGACTGCCCATACTGGCTGACTTCCTACTCAAAGCGTCGGCCACCACATTGGCCTTCCACGGATGATATAAAATAGTGACATCATAATCCTTCAACAACTCCAACCACCTCCTCTGCCTCAAATTCAACTCCTTCTGCTTGAACAAGTACTGAAGACTCTTGTGGTCAGTGAACACCTCACATGCCACGCCATACAAATAGTGCCTCCAAATCTTCAAGGCGTGGACAATAGCTGCCAACTCTAAATCATGCACTGGATAGTTTTTCTCATGAATCTTCAATTGCCTCGAAGCATAGGCTATAACCTTGCCATCCTGCATCAATACTGCACCAAGTCCAATACGGGAAGCATCACAATAGATGGTATAAGGCCCAGATCCTGTGGGCAAGACCAACACCGGTGCCGTAATCAGGGCTATCTTGAGCTTCTGAAAGCTCGCCTCACACTCCTCCGACCATCTGAACTGGGCACCCTTCTGGGTCAACCTGGCCATCGGGGCTGCAATAGATGAAAACCCCTCCACAAACCGACGGTAGTAGCCTGTTAACCCCAAGAAACTCCGAATCTCCGTAGCTGATGCTGGTCTAGGCCAGTTCTTGACTGCCTCTATCTTCTTCGGGTCCACCTGAATACCCTCAGCTGATACAACGTGACCCAGAAATGCTACTGAACTCAGCCAGAACTCACACTTGGAGAACTTGGCATATAACTGACTATCCCTCAGAGTCTGAAGAACCACTCTAAGGTGCTGCTCGTGCTCCTCCTGGCTGCGGGAGTACACCAAAATATCATCAATAAAGACTATCACGAACATGTCCAAATATGGTCTGAATACTCGGTTCATCAACTCCATGAATGCTACTGGGGCATTGGTCAACCCAAACGACATGACCAAGAACTCGTAATGCCCGTACCGAGTACGGAATGTCGTCTTAGGGACATCGGATGCCCTAATCCTCAACTGGTGGTAGCCAGATCTCAAGTCAATCTTGGAAAATACCCTGGCACCCTGAAGCTGGTCGAACAAATCATCAATCCTCGGCAGTGGATACTTATTCTTAATTGTTACCTTGTTCAATTGCCGGTAATCTATACACGTCCGCATCGAACCATCCTTCTTCTTAATGAATAACACTGGCGTGCCACAAGGCGAAACACCGGGTCTAATGAAACCCTTATCTAACAGATCCTGCAATTGGTCCTTTAACTCATTCAGCTCCGGCGGGGCCATACGATATGGCGAAATAGAAATGGGCTGGGTGCCTGGAGCCAAATCAATACAGAAATCGATATCTCTATCGGGCGGCATACCCGGCAGGTCCGAAGGAAAAACATCGGTAAACTCCCGGACAATAGGCACAGAATCTATGGGAGGGACCTCAGCACTGGAATCACGAACATAGGCCAAATAGGCCAGACACCCCTTCTCGACCATACGTCGAGCCTTCACGTACGATATGACACTACGGGTAGAATGACCTGGAGTCCCCCTCCACTCTAAGCGAGGCATACCCGGTAA